ATGGGATCTATTTTGGTGGTCTAAGGATAAGGTCTCTGCTTTTTGCAGATGATGTGGTCCTGTTGGCTTCATCAAACAGTGAACTCCATCTTTCGCTGGAGTGGTTTGCAGCTGAGTGTGAAGCAGCTGGGATGAGAATCAGCTCCTCTAAATTCCAGACCATGGTCTTAAAACGGAAAAGGGTAGAATGCCTTCTCCATGCATAGATCCACAGCTCCTCAACATCAAGAGGAGCCAGTTGAGGTGACTTGAGCATCTGGTCAGGATGCCAACTGGACGCCTCCCTGGTGAGGTTTTCCAGGTATGTCCAACTGGGAGGAGACCCAAGGGAAGACACGGGACATGCTGGAGTGACTATGTCTCTCACCTGGCCAGGGAACGCCTTGGGATTCCCCCGGAGGAGCTGGCCCAAGCTAGAGAGAGGGACGTCTGGGCCTCTCGGCTTAGGCTGCTGCTCTCGAGACCCGGCTCCGGATAAGCGGATGAAAATGGATGGCGGATGAAAATAAATGGATAGATGGATGGATGGATGGGTTTGTTTATTGATTGATTGATTGATTGATTGATTGATTGATTGATGGGAGAATTCTGGTTCACCTAGCTGTTCTTTGATGTCACCAAAGGCGATGTCAGCTGCAGTAATTAAAGTTGTAGCCTTGTCTGTGTTCAGCTGCAGACAGTTATAGAGTGCTTAAACTGCCTGTCAAGCAGCTAATTAAAGGGGATAACTTGTGGACCTCGTTGGGAAACCTGACTGAACGGCTGGATTACAAGAAGAAGATGTGTCCCAGGAAGAAACCCTGAGGAACTCCTTGTGATGGCTCTGTGGAGTTTGATATTATCTGGTTTACACTGAAACTTCTAACAGACGTATAGGAAGAAAACCATCCCAGAACAGATCCAACATAACATTCCAAAAAAAGCCCTGGTCAGTTAATCAGAACATTATGATAAACATGATACGATTATTCTAAAACGTTTGCCTTAAACAGGAGTTTGGATACGGGCCGGTATATTATTTTTCTTGTTGGGTCCTATGTGCATTCCATCTAACAATTCTGATTGTTATGTCTGATCAAAAACAATGCATGTGTTTGAGTGAGAGAGAGATTCAGAGAGCTGGCAATCCGTTTCTCCCTCTAACACTCCAATATGATCATCTTAGGTGTGTTCATGCTGTGTCGTGGTTCTAATTCCATGCTGTCGTTCTTTTTAAAACACAGAAACAGTTTTGTTACCTGTTTTGTCGCTATACGTTTCGTTTGCGGCTGCAGACTTCCTCAGGCTGACGCTGATGGTGGCGTCACTTCCTTCTCCGTTTATCCACGGGCAGCAGAGGACGTTGTCGCCTTCTGCTGCCCGCTCTCCCCTCTCCGACGATGCAGTTGTGCGGTCCAACGTGTAAACTCCATCGTCCCTGTTCATGGTTCCAAACAGAAACATTAACACAAAATTTAAATAATATTGACGACACAGGCAGCATAAAATTCACTTATGAGTCAGAAACAGAAGGCAGTATAGCATTTATGGATATGAAAATCACCAGGCAGACCGACGGGACCCTAAACATAAACACATACAGGAAACCAACACACACAGACCAATATCTATTATGGACATCTGAACACCCCACCATACACAAAATGTCAGTAATCAGAACATTATATCACCGAACAAACATAATAACAGAAGAAAGAGATCGTAAACAAGAGGACAAACACATACAACCTGCTTTAAAGACCTGCGGATACCCGACATGGGCGATAAACAAAGGAAAACAACAAACAAAAACAAAAAAAGAAAGGAACAACCAAAGCAAAGAACCAGAAACCCAGAAAGACAAGAACCAAAACCAGTGATAACCCAACCATACATCAGAGGCATAACAGAAAAAATAAGAGCAACAATGAAAAAACACAACATAAACACACCAACAAAACCATACACGACAGTTAGAAACAGACTAGTACACCCAAAAGACAAGATACCAGCTGGACTTAAATGTGGAGTCATTTACGAAATCCCATGCAAACTCTGCAATCAAACATACATAGGAGAAACCGGACGCCAACTCAACACACGAACAATAGAACATAGAAAGGAGTGCGAGAAAGAGGCAAGTCGAAAACACACGAGAGCAGCAAAAGAAGAAGCAGAAAGTACAATAAAGAAATCGGCCGTAACAGATCACTGCACAAAAGAAAACCATATAATGGACTGGGACAACACAAGGATCATAAACACCGAAGATCAGAAATACAAAAGATAGATAAAAGAAGCAATCGAGATAAGGAGACGTGGATGTGGGACCATGAACAGGGACGATGGAGTTTACACGTTGGACCGCGTATGGGACTGCATCATCGGAGAGGGGAGAGCGGGCAGCAGAGGGTGACAACGTCCTCTGCTGCCCGCGGATAAATGGAGAAGGAAGTGACGCCACCATCAGCATCAGCCTGAGGAAGTCTGCAGCCGCAGACGAAACGTAGCGACAAAACAGGTAACAAAACTGTTTCTGTGTTTTAAAAAGAACGACAGCATGGAATTACTCCAATATGATGCCTCCACCCAGGCTCACTAACCATATCATGAGTTTATAATAACCACATCACATCCACAGCGAATGAGGTGGAAGGAAAATCTACCTAATTTGGGGAGAAACATGACTGTGTAAGAGTAAGGTGTCCCCTGAGAAGGGGCCCAAACTGAGGGAGCAGCGTGCTGCACTGGTAGCACGCTCTGTGAGCGTGTAATGGTCTTAATTATCATTTAGCTTGCCAGCCTCATCGAGGATGTGTCAAGCCAGAAATAAAATAGGAGCAGATGCACACACATAATAAAGTTTAAAACACACTGAACTGGATACCCAGAGGTGCAAGTAGGATGATGCAAACACTGGTGTGTTTCCACCCCACTGAGTGACATCTCTCTCTCACTCTTTGAATTAGTCACGATGAGTGATGTGTAACTAGCCATGACTCTTTCTGGCTGGGGAGGTAGCTAATTCACTTTGTTTAATTAGTCAAAAGTAGTAGAGCATGGACTGCTCCCTCTCCTCCAGCCATCGGCATCTGCAGCAGAGACAGATCTGGGATCATAGCGGTGGCAAGTCTTTGACTTGGACTGCTCTCTCTCTCTCTCTCTCTCTCTCTCTCTCTCTCTCTCTCTCTCTCTCTCTCTCTCTCTCTCTCTCTCTCTCTCTCTCTCTCTCTCTCTCTCTCTGTGTGTGTGTGTGTGTGAGTGTGTGTGAGAGAGATATTTGGATTACCTTCAGATATCTCCCGCTGATGCATGATTTCAGCTCCAGGTTTCTGCAGTTTTCTCTGATGAACTGTTAATCTCCATCAGGTACTGTAAAAATGTATTTTTTGTATATTATCACATTGAATTTGTTTTTGCCAGGTGTGTTAGAACAATTTAGACTGAAAAAAATGTTTGCACACTGTCTATTTAATTTTTATGTTATTAATCATTTTTTCCCTCATTATTTAATTCAGGAGGTAAACGCTTACTATTTATTAAGTAATTTATTATTTATTTGCTTGTATGTTTATTTATTTATTATTTTTCTTCCTCACTTTTCTTTATATATATATATATATATATATATATATATATATATATATATATATGAATTAGATTGTATTTTTTCTTGGTGGTGTTATTTTGTATTGCTGTTTTGTTGACATTGGAGAAAATAAATAAAGCATGTCTAATAAATAGGTTTTTGTTTTTGTTGTTTAGTATCAATACAAAAATCACTGAGTTTAACTCATACAAAAACAAAACAGACTGATCTTTATTTGTTTGATTCTAACAGAGTTTTTGCTTTCTGTAAGTCTTTTTTTTTGACATTTTGAACACGATCCACCAGTTTTGTGCCAACATAGCAGCAACTTCACTGCCTCTGTTTCACTTTCCAACCATGGAGAGCTCTAATCTACCCTAAAGACAATAATGAGCGCGTGCACAGCATGCAGCGGGAGCATAATACATAGATTTATGCGCAAATGTCATATTTAATGTATTAACGGCGCGCGCACGTGAATTCGTTATTGCGCCGCCGCCATATGTTAATCCAGCTGGTTGTTTCTCAGACTTCGTGTTTGGTGTGGGGGAGGAGAATGGGGGGTGCTTCGTCTCCCCCTCCGCGTGCGCACATTGCCTTCAGTGCCCCGGTGTCGGTGGGTGTAAAACCTCACACATGATCCAGGTAGAGGAGGAGGCACGGCTCCGCGCATTGTTCTCTCTGCAGCCTGGTGCACGGATTCGGTACAACACCGGGGCTCTGGGTGGATGATGGGAGGTCGCTGGGAACTTTGTCCTTCCACCGGAGAGACAGACGTCGTCTAGGACCGAAATAGGACACGGGCTGACTCATTCTGCACACGTGAGATCGTTTCTGTTAAATAAACGTTCAATCAGAGGAGGAACGGAGCGCGAGACATCCCGACAGTCGGGTCCTCATCAGGAGACCGATGGAAGCGACCTAAACAGAACCATCCAGATTGTGTCTGCAGGAACCAGATCACACCTGGACCCAACATCAGCAGAACCAGAAGGTTTACAGCGACGTGGTTCCGACTGGGGATTCGTTATTATTATTATTATTATTATTATTATTATTATTATTATTATTATTATTATTATTATTATTATTATTATTATTATGAGAAGCGGACCTGAATGTCCACAGAACTTTGACTGGACTTGAAGGTAATTGTTGTACAGATGAAGGTCAGACATAAATGTGTCCAAAACAGTTTTCATTTATTCATTTATGGAAACACAGCAGCTCTGTTGACATCCATTAAGGGATGCAGGTCACTAATTGGCTTCATTTAATTATGCATGTGATGTTCAACCTGTTCGTTTCAATATGTGTGTGTGTATATATATATATATATATATATATATATATATATATATATATATATATATATATATATATATATATATATATATGTGTGTGTGTGTGTGTGTGTGTGTGTGTGTGTGTGTGTGTGTGTGTGTGTGTATATGTATATGCTAGAACTAAGAGATACACCCAAAATATAGTCTGGGATTTTCAGCATTATTGTGATTGCAAATCAAAAATCAGATTTTATCTTTCAGTCCATCACAGCACCAGTCAGGTGTATAAAGAGTTAAAACTGGTCCAATCAATGACAGGTCTTTCATGTGATCCTTTTAAGTTTTAAAATCAATCAAGTTAATCTGGAGTTGTATTTATTCTCGTTACTATAATTGTTTGTAGTGAGCTCAGCAGGTGAAAATCGGTATTAGGATTGGTCCTCATCGAGCCAGCTTTATTTAGACAGCACATTTCAAACACAATGGCAATTCAATGTGCTTTACACTTAGCATGAAATGGCACAACAATAAACAGGAGAACACAAATTTATAATTTAGAGATAAAAGGAAAATAGAATTTATGTTGAGCAATAGCATCACAGATTACAGCGGAGACGATGCAGCATAAGAAACAATTAATTCAAAGGCTGACGAGTACATTAGGGTTTTTAGTTTTTATTTAAACTCTAGAGTTGGGCAGATCTGAGGTCCTGGGGAAGCTGATTCCATAGGTGAGCAGCATAATAGCTAAAAGCATCTTCACCCTGTTTGGTTCTGACCCGAGGGTCTACCAGCTGATTGTTTCTAAGGACTATCAGAGCCCTGTTTATACAGGAATGAGATATGACATGCATTTTGGCCCCATGCCATTGAGTGATTTATAAACTAGTAGGAGCACTTTGAAATCTATTCTGTAGTTTACTGGTAACCAGTGTAGAGATCTAAGAACAGGAGTGGTGTGCTCCGTTCTCTTAGTTCTTGTTAGGACTCTAGCAGCAGCATTCTGAACAAGCTGCAGTTGCTTCACAGCTTTTTTGGAAAGACCAGTTAGGAGACCATTGCAGTAGTCCAGTCGACTAGTAATAAAAGCATGAAAAACGTTTCTCTAAGTCTGGTCTGGACATGAGACCTCTGACTCTTGATATTTGATGAAGGTAATAACATGGTGATTTAGTTATAACCTTAATATGTCCAGAGAAGTTCAGGTCTGAATCAATGGTAACATCAAGATTTCAAACCTGGGTCTTTGCCTTTATTCCCCTGGAGTCTAGCTGAAAAATAACATCCATCCTAACCTTCTTGTTGCCAAAGACAAAAACTTCAGTCTTGTCTTTGTTTAACTGACGGAAGCTTGACTGCATTGGGGACACACTGGCCGCGGAAGCGCCGCGAAAATGGGACCGCCTTCATTCGGCGCCCTTGTTAAGCTATTCTATAGACCACATGGGCCGCCGAAGCGCCGCGAATCGCCTCGCGCCGGCGCTCCAGCCCGCGCCGTGCAGCGATCATTTCGGCGTTGGCTCTATTTTTTTCGCGAGCCGCGGGTGAATCGCGTCAATTCTGTCAGGAAGTCAAACGTAGACATAAGAGGCAGGCCGGTAAAGTTAACAAAATAAAGCATTTCAAAATAAAATTCCGCAATAGTCAAATGTGTTCGTAAACAGACACTGCAGAAAAACCACACGAACACGCACACACACATACACACACATCGAACTTGTGTGCGTGTGTGACCACGTGAAGGGGGGAGTGGTTTTGGGTGTCTTTTCACCGGAGCAAACAGGACAGAGAGGCAGAAAGTCTGAGGCAAGCAGTTAGGATGGATGACTTTAAATTAATTATGGAAGTTGAGAAACACAAGGAGCTGTACGACCCCCGAAAAACATGATTGTTTACGTACCCATGTCGGAAGAAACTGCTAGGATACAGCTGCAGAATTGGAGCGGGTTCCAAGAGATTCAACTGGCAGAAACAACTCATACCATAGGTTCACACACACGCGCGCGCGCACGCGCACAAACACTCAAACGTAGGAAAAGAGCTGAGAAAAGGCAGAGAGGAAATGGAGGACACCAAGTGTTTAAAAGAAAAACTACAGCTGAGCCGAGGCGCGCCTCGACTGGGGCGCGTCTGATCTGAACTGAGGAGCGGCGAGCAGCGGCCGAATTTCGTGAGCGATTCGCTTCTCGGCGCTTCGCGGCGCTTCCGCGGCCGGTGTGTCCCCGGCGTTAACTTACTCTAGACACTAACAGCGTGAGTCCAGCGGACGGTAGTTAAGTGATAGGGCTAGATAGATCTGGGTGTCATCAGCATAGCTATGATAGGCTATGTTGCTATTGTTAATGACCTGACCCAGAGGGAGCATGTAAAGATTGAAGAGTAGTGGTCCTAGAATTGAGCCTTGGGGACCCCACATGTCATGGTGATCAGCTTTGATCTGTGATCCCCAATAGAGACAACATAGCCTTGTCTTGATCAGGTAAAGTATATCTATTTTTAAGTGCAGGTAAATTTCAGATTATAGTAAATTCAGAAAGAGTGCTAAACATGTTTTTGTGTCTTCAATAACCAGCTCTACTTAGATTGTTAAAACCTCAAAGGGAGAGAAAATAAAAAGTAAAATCATATTTAGGACAGACATTTAGGAGGACCAGCAGAAGATTTGTGATTTGTATTAAAGTGACACCATAACAAATCTCAGGGGTACTTCTGAGTTAAAAAATGTTCATGAAATACGTAGGTGGAGTAACCAGGTAGGTAGGTTTTAACTGTTGCTAATCTGCAACACCTGCCTCCAGAGGGTTAAAAACATTAATCTCTAATTTTTGACTCTATGTGATGAGTGAGAGGTTGGGAGTAGGATGAGTATGGTGGTGCAAGCTCTCACTGGCTGAGGAAATCTTCTTCAACCATTTAAAAAGATGATTGGAGGAGTAAATCAGAGATGACGGGATGTGTGATTTGGACAGGTGTGCAGTCTTTAGGCACACTGTTTCCTGGAAGCATGTAATATGTGGCCAAAGTAGGTCAGGATGCTTTAATTATCAGAGTTTAGTTCGATAAAAGTCAAAGATAAACACATTTCACATCAAGCAGACAAGGCTTATGATTTAAAAAGTCTACCAGCTGCTCAGTTTGTCCTGTTATAAACGTATCCTGATCTAGGTTGACAGGACCTCCATCTCTTTAAAGTGACGGTGTGCGTTTTTCCTGGCGATAGGGGGCAGTAGATACCTAAATCGTTGCAAGCAATCAGTATTTTTGTATTGAAGTAAGACCTTACCAGTGGATTCCCATTAGGGTCAAAAAGCCCCAGGGAGTGCAAACCAGCAAAACACCAAGCGCATCAGACTCCCTTTTATCACTGGCAGCAAGTGAAGAGGTAAATGTGTAAAACAATGTTTATGAATGGTGAAATTTTGTAACCGTTTGTTACAAATCAGTAAATGCATTTTGTCCTTAAGGGCTCCGTAGAAGGAAACATGGCATCTAATATGGCGTCGCCCAGAGACTAAGACCCTCTTTAGGGCAGGGCAATATATCGAAAATTAATCAATATCGAAAACTCTGACTCTTATCGTGATCATTTTCCCCATGTCAATGAATCTGATGATAAAAAATTAAGAGGTGTGTAGGTTGGCAACATTTATGTCCCTTTAAGAAGCTGTATCACCTTGAGTCTCGTAAAAATGTGACTCAACACAATACATGTGACAGCCCCATCTAGTGGATAACTTTTGTTTCTGCGCATACCTGCAGTTGTTGTCCACTTATAATTATCGAGGTGAAATCCTCAATATACCGTGATATTGGTTTTAGGCCGTATCGCCCATCCCTAACCCTCTCCCATGTATTTTAAACCTGATTTTTATGGTTATATGTTGTGAAGCCGCCAATATTTTTTAACAGCTCGGCATCATTTCATTCACTTTCAGCAACATTTCGATTGATATTTTCAGAGATTATCAGTAAAAACTACACATTGTCTCTTTAACAGGATTAGTACTCTCCTCAACATGTGCCATCCCATCATATATTTCTACTCAGTATGTTTCATTTTAATGTTATAAATAGTTATAAACAACATGATTAACTCTAATAATTATTTAAAGGGTAAATTCACATGAAAGCCCCAGTGTGTAAAAAAATTCAACTCCTTAGCGCCACGCAGTTCAGAGCAGGTATTGCAGCAACAGTATCCCACATGCATCAAAAGGTCAGTGTGTCATTGTTGAGGTGTGTGCACGGCTACGGGGAAGAGTCACACTGAGTAGCACAGACAGCTACTTCGAGGCCACACACAGAAAACACCACACACCATTTTTCAACTGTCTGCACGTTTTATTCACCGATTCTGCTGCTTCCTACGGTCAGTGTCTCTCTCAGGGAATCCACAGCCCTCTGTTTGTGTCTTGTGAATAAATGTAGAACAAGTCAGATCAGACATTTGCAGCAACTGTCTTCTTGCTGTCACTTCTATCACGTCACCTGTCTCCCTCTCCACCGCAGCTGTGCGTCCAGCACAACTGTTATCAGAAAGTCCCAGCTTTAATTTCAGCGATCACGTGTAGTTAGAGCAGGGCAAGCAACCCAAAGGAAAGGAGCAGAAATTCCCCCAAACCAGCAACGTTTACGGAGGAGGACTTTCATGTCAAAGCGCAAACGTGAAATGTAGCATTATAGCTTTTATGTCCCTAAACGGCTTCGGTATTTCAAGGCGGCGCATGATTATGGAGCATCGAGTAGTTTTCGTATTTAAAATGTAAAATTTCCAGCTAATTGGAATATTTAAGTAGACGATAGTGAGAAATATTAATGAAAATGGACAAGTTTTTGAACGGATGCACAGCATTTAGTAAACAAGTAATAATATTACATACTGTGGCTTAAACCAACAGTTCACTTGTGGAAATTATTCAGAAGAACTTTTCATGAATCAGACGTTCATGTTCCTATAATCAGGACATTTTTATCTTTTCTTTTTTACTTTTTAAAGTTTTGTTGCATTAACAGAATTTTTCTAGAACCTGTGTGAAGTTGACGCTGCAGTTTTTCATCATTTCAAAATAACTTTATAAAGTGGTGGTTTTAAATGTTCTTTACAAGCATGGATTATGTGACAACAATCACACCACTGCTCTGTCGGTGTAAGGACGACTTATTTACACGTGCTTTCATCTTTAACAGTGTGAAGCCACAGATGGATCCAACGTGTGATGGAGTAACCGACACTGAGAGCAGGGACCTAGCTATAAACCCTCGACCCCCTCCTGCCAAGGTGGCTCGGCTGGAGCAGCACATGATGGGATCCTCGACTCCAGAGAGGAGAAGGCAGGGCAGTCCTGCGGTCAACACCTCCTGCCAGGTCCAGAAACCCACAACCTCAGTGCAGCACACTAAAGGTTCTGATCATGAGGATTAAAATGTTTTAATTATTATCATGTACTTAATTTCTTCTGTGTTCTACGTCTGTAATGCTCCTGCAGTCGTTTCTTTGTAGTGCCATGAGCTTTTCATGATAAACGTTCCATTTGCCACCACAGCAACCCTGCTGCCGGTCTTCTGTGTGGTGGAGCACAAAGAATATTTTTTGGAGGTTGAGAGAAAAGAGGAACATGCTGAGTTTGTGCTGGTCAAACGAGACCTTCTGTTCAATCAGCTGATAGAGATGGCCCTGCTGACGCTGGGCTACTCCCACAGCTCTGCAGCACAGGCTAAAGGTGCACACACATACACCTATTTATACACACATTTAGACTCAGATTTATCCAGCATGTGTGTGTGTGTGTTGTGTGTGTGTTGTGTTGTGTGTTCAGGTCTGATCCAGGTGGGCAGGTGGAACCCGGTTCCTCTGTCGTGTGTAACCGACGCTCCTGACGCCACAGTGGCCGACATGCTGCAGGATGTTCACCATGTTATCACACTGAAAATCCAGCTGCACAGGTAGGAGGCAGACAGGATGCTTATCTCCAGCCTCCATACCCGCATCTATAAATAATGTATGACATCATTACTCTCTCACAGCAGAAAAGCTGAACAAGGATCCGTGTTTTCATCACAGATTCACTGATTTTTATTTCAAATCAAAGGATTTTATCCCAGAAAACCCCTGATTTATGGCCTGGTTTCTTTTCTCCACGACCTGAGCTGGAGAAAAGAGTTTAGAAAAATAAGATGATAAACCTAAAACCATCACCTAAAGAGAAGGGAACATCTGAGCCCACGAAGCAGACGTTCTCTCTAAAATGTGTTACTCTCTCCAGTGGTTTTGCTTCTCTGATCTCATGTTCTCAGACTAAAACCCAGAAGAGTGATTATTTTTAAAGTCTCATGATTTCTTTTAAGGTCTGGCTTTATTCTGCAGCCCAGAGTCTCTTAAGGAAGGGAGTTTTATTATTTAACGCATGCATTTCCTCCAGTTTTGAGACATGCATGTGTTAGATGTACAAACAATGTTTAGCTGTGTTTATTTTGTTGTTGTTGTTTGATGCATCCTGCAGCTCTGAAGGGAATTCTGGGATAGTAACACTAGGAATGTCCCGATCAGCATTTTGGGCTTCCGATCCGATCTTTTAACTTCAAATCCGAAATATAAATCGCCACATGATTCATCATCCATGTGGTTGACTTCTTTTGGAACACCCGATCATAAACAGGGCGAGACAGGAAAAGGAGGCCTCTACACACCTCCGATCACTGAAAAACATGAAAAAATCATCCTCAGGATTGGGACATCTCATCAGTTTGTTTTTCTTGGATCTTTGCCAGCTGTCCCAAACTGGAGGACCTGCCAGCAGAGCAGTGGAGTCACTCCAAGGTGAGGAACGCTCTAAAGGAGCTCCTGAAGGACATGAATCAGAGCTCCCTGGCCAAAGAGTGCCCACTCTCTCAGGTATCACATGCATCCACCTGACACTGCGTCTCCTGTCCTCCTAACCCTGACTCTGGTTTTATTATCTAACCTTTAAAACACAAACAAATAAGCAGAAGTCAAAAGGAGATGGTTAAATGGACGTGAAGCTGCATTTTGCCCTTCTCTGTCTTGTGTGTGTCTGTGACTGTGTTTGTGAGTGGATATGTGGACCAATGATTATACAGGAAGTCCAGATGCTAAGGCTGATAATGTCTGCTGTGTGGGGGAAGGAAAAACAGATAAGGAGAGATCAGTATCTCTTAAAAAGCTATGCTGCCTTGGCTAATGCCTATCTGGATCTGCAGACTTCCAGCCTGTCTGTCTGCAACAGCTCCACCTCATGTATTCCGTCATTCCTTTCATCACTCCATCCTTTATTTTAAAATGATTTTACTCACATCTGGAAGTGTGTTCCGGTGCAAAAGTTATTAATAATTATTATCTTATTCATTTCCTACAGGATTGATGGGCTAATGGCTAGGCTAATTCAAATTAGTGTCGACTCAAAAAGGCTCCCGTTTCTACATTTCATGCAAGCAATATTAATGAACTTTTCCATGGTGATAAAATTAACAAACATGTTATTTATAAGCATTAATAACACCAGCAGCAGCTAGATGTACAAGCATTGTGGAGTCTTACAGAAATACTAATAATAATGAATAAAATTAAACAAACTGTTTTACAGATGTTAAAGTTCATCGGTACATTCACACAAGACCAGTTTTAGCTTGGAAGAAGCCAGTATAACTTCAAATCAATTCTTAATTCAGGTTAAAATTTAGATTTAAAATGAAGAAAAATAACTGCTAATTTATGTTTTAGAGGTAGCAGCCACAGAAGAGAGGCTAAAACTACCCTTTCCCCAACAACCTGTCATTATCTGGCAATATGGGTGTGGAGTGGTGTTCTGCTGCAAGCGCGGAGTGACTGGCACTGGGTCTGGACAGACACGGTCGAGATAGGAATCGTGGTACGTAGCTCGAAAGGAAACAAGAGTGAGTGGTGGCTCCAGAATAATGAAAAGGGACCCACAGAAAGTCAACAGGTCTGGTAGACGGACAGGCTGGTGTGAAAAACTCCGGACAAATTTCCAGTGAGTTGGTCTGCTGAATCAAGTGTGTTGGACCTGAGAAATCCCTAAAATGTGCTGGACATGAAAAGCCCTGGTCTAAACTGTTTTGAGGCTGTTATGGAGTGTGAATCAATGTGAATCAGTGTGTGTGTGTGTGTGTGTGTGTGTGTGTGTGTGTGTGTGTGTGTGTGTGTGTGTGTGTGTGTGTGTGTGTGTGTGTGTGAGTGTGTATCATTGTGTATGAGTGTGTGTGTGTGTGTGTGTGTGTGTGTGTGTGTGTGTGTGTGTGTATCATTGTGTGTGAGTGTGTATCATTGTGTATGAGTGTGTGTGAGTGTGTATCAGTGTGTGTGAGTGTGTATCAGTGTGTGTGAGTGTGTATCAGTGTGTGTGAGTGTGTATCGTTGTGTATGAGTGTGTGAGAGTGTGTATCAGTGTGTGTGAGTGTGTATCAGTGTGTGTGAGTGTGTATCAGTGTGTGTGAGTGTGTATCAGTGTGTGTGAGTGTGTATCAGTGTGTGTGAGTGTGTATCAGTGTGTGTGAGTGTGTATCAGTGTGTGTGAGTGTGTATCAGTGTGTGTGAGTGTGTATCAGTGTGTGTGAGTGTGTATCGTTGTGTATGAGTGTGTGTGAGTGTGTATCAGTGTGTGTGAGTGTGTATCATTGTGTATGAGTGTGTGTGTGTGTGTGTGAGTGTGTATCAGTGTGTGTGAGTGTGTATCATTGTGTGTGAGTGTGTATCATTGTGTATGAGTGTGTGTGTGTGTGTGAGTGTGTATCAGTGTGTGTGAGTGTGTATCATTGTGTGTGAGTGTGTATCATTGTGTATGAGTGTGTGTGTGTGTGTGAGTGTGTATCAGTGTGTGTGAGTGTGTATCATTGTGTGTGAGTGTGTATCATTGTGTATGAGTGTGTGTGTGTGTGTGAGTGTGTATCATTGTGTATGAGTGTGTGTGAGTGTGTATCAGTGTGTGTGAGTGTGTATCAGTGTGTGTGAGTGTGTATCATTGTGTGTGAGTGTGTATCATTGTGTATGAGTGTGTGTGAGTGTGTATGAGTGTGTGTGAGTGTGTATCAGTGTGTGTGAGTGTGTATCATTGTGTATGAGTGTGTGTGTGTGTGTGTGTGTGAGTGTGTATCAGTGTGTGTGAGTGTGTATCATTGTGTGTGAGTGTGTATCATTGTGTATGAGTGTGTGTGAGTGTGTATCAGTGTGTGTGAGTGTGTATCAGTGTGTGTGAGTGTGTATCATTGTGTGTGAGTGTGTATCATTGTGTATGAGTGTGTGTGAGTGTGTATGAGTGTGTGTGAGTGTGTATCAGTGTGTATGAGTGTGTATCATTGTGTATGAGCGTATGTGAGTGTGTATGAGTGTGTGTGAGTGTGTATCAGTGTGTGTGAGTGTGTATCAGTGTGTGTGAGTGTGTATCAGTGTGTGTGAGTGTGTATCAGTGTGTGTGAGTGTGTATCATTGTGTATGAGTGTGTGTGAGTGTGTATCAGTGTGTGTGAGTGTGTATCATTGTGTATGAGTGTGTGTGAGTGTGTATCAGTGTGTATGAGTGTGTATCATTGTGTATGAGCGTATGTGAGTGTGTATGAGTGTGTGTGAGTGTGTATCAGTGTGTGTGAGTGTGTATCAGTGTGTGTGAGTGTGTATGAGTGTGTGTGAGTGTGTATCAGTGTGTGTGAGTGTGTATCAGTGTGTGTGAGTGTGTATCAGTGTGATAAGTAGATAAGGACTGCCAGCATACAACCATAGACAAAGCCAAACTAGTCTCAGGATGAAACTGCACCAGAAGAACCACATTTTGCTGCTGGTGATGATTTTTACCATTTTAAAGACCAAGTTGACTGAGAAACTTGCTATTTTGGATCATCACTTGGGAGTTTAACATGCAGGGAGAATGTAAAATAGAATTCTACACTTATTTCCTGCATGAGATAAACGGGGAAGTTCGGATCAGAGACGTTGGTCCGATCTACGTCACACATCTTGGCTCATGACAGGAAAGACTGTTGTTGATTTAGCATCCCAGAGAGAGCAGAGCACATCCCAGCATGTAGAACCTAACAGTTCGCATTAGCCGCTCCACAACACGACATAACTCCTTCAGCCTTGTGTTATTTGTGGAGATAAAACATCCATGTTGCAGAGCAAACAGTCAGTCGTACAGTCGTGTTGCTGTTAGCCAATCAGAGGAGAGATGTTCCAATATCAGGAAATAAGAAACTAAAAGCTGTTGCTAACTGCTGCCTCCTTAAACAGGAGCAGCAGAACCTTTTAAACTAGAGGCCGTCATTGAAGTGTTGAAAAAACGAGTGAACTTGGTCTTTAAATAATCATAGAATTTAATGGAACCCTGTGATTCTAAATAGACCTCGCAAAGAATCTTTTAGTTCAACACAGCAGCTGTTAGCCCATAAACTCTATTTCTTCAAACAAAGGCTGTTCAGGGGGCGATTTACAACTGATAAAAAAATATTCACAACTTCTAATGAAAAAATTTCAAAAGCAAACACTTTTTAATAATCAGGTAGTAGTAACCAGCTCAGTCTATTATTTCCCTTAAAGGAGCCATGGACATTTGGAAAAAGAAAAATTGTTCACTCTTTGGCTTTGTTTTATGATCTTTCCTCCTCCGACTCCTCCTCCTCCGCCTACACCCCCTTAACCTCCCCCTCTGGTGCTCTTGTTGGTGAAAAGCAGATTAAAATAAATATGTGATGATGAAAAGTGTAATCAGACGTAAAGATTGCACAGAATGTTGGTCTTAAGGGAAAAGCTGTGTGTGCCACTGAGAGACAGGTCTCCGATGACCTCTGGTGATTTTGTCTGATTACACACACACACACGTTGACACACTCATCAGTCTTTATTATCTTGTTTTCCCGGGGGTCGTTTTATTAACACAGATCTGGGATCATTAATATCAGATGTGTGAACAGCTGAGACACTCGGGCCACCCGTGGCAGGAGCAGGAGGATGTAATGAATTCTCTTTGTCTCTTCCTTTCTGTTTCAGAGCATGATCTCCTCCATTGTAAACAGCACTTACTATGCAAATGTCTCTGCTGCAAAGTGTCACGAGTTTGGTCGATGGTACAAACACTTCAAGAGGTCCAAATGCATCAAGGGTGAGAGGTTTTAATCATTCTTACGCCACATAAACCAGGTTTCAAGATAGTAAGAAAGCCTTGTTTTTTGTTCTTTTATCTTATTTTTAGTCACACACAAAAAACAATGCTAATATTCTTAAATATGATCAACTTTTAGTGTTTTGAGTAAGCGAAACTGCCAATAAGTAAACAAAAGTTGTTTGGCAGCAATTCTTAAAGCTAAGAAAACTAATCTTCAGAGGTGTGGACTCGAGTCAGACTCAAGTCATTATTTTAATGACTTGTGACTTGACTTAGTAAAATATTTATCATCATTGTAATTAAATTGAAGTTGGACAGATGACTTGATTATGACTTGAAATTTCAAAGTTAAGGACTTGGACTTGACTTGGATTTCCACATCATTGACTTTGGACTCGACTTGGACTTGGTTGTCTTTGACTTGGACTTGACTTGAGACTTGACTGGAAAGACTTGTGACTTACAAAGCAATGACTTGGTCACACCTCTGCTAATCTTGTGTTGTATTTATTTACTTGTTCTAAGAATTCTAGCCAAACAACCTTAGTTCAGATCATTGGCAGTTTTTTTACTCAAAACAAGACATTTTCTTCATATTTTAAGAGCAAGTTCACTTGTTTTTTCAACATATTCTCAGTGGTCTCTAGTTGTGAGTCGATCTCTTTGAGAAAAAGCTCTGGCGCTCCTGTTTCAGGAAGTAGAAGTGAGCCGGAAAAGAGGAGAGCTGAAGACGGCAGGATATGGAGTCTTATTTCCTGATTATCAAACATCTCACCACTGATTGGATAACAGCAACCAACTCTACCGCTGGCTCTCTTTGCTTTGCAACGCTGATGTTTTATCTCCAAAAATAGCACAAGCCTGAAATAGTTCTGTCGTGTTGTGAAGTTGCTAATGCTAATGGTTAGCTTTTACTAGTCAAGACACTCTGTGGTCTCTGCTGGACGCGATTTAGCTAAATTTAAGCTGTGTGACGACGGCCTTGCCTTTCTTGCGTCTGGCTGGCTAAAGGGGTTCTTCTACAATTGACTGTTTCATTTGGCCACTAATTGTTATGTGATAAGATAATTAAAAATTTTAATCAGGTTTATTGAAACCAAACTGTTAAAATAATGGAAAAACCCTCCATGACGTCAGAATTCCGAGGCTTCGACTTGAAGCCTAATGGGCGGTTCTGATCACCGCCATCTTGGTCATGTCAAAAATCTCGTCATGCCCAGACCATCCAAAAATGGGCAGAGGTTTAGCTGAGAGCAAGGCTCTGAGGATCTGAGTCAGCCACTAATTTCACAGTTACAAGCTAACTGAGTTAACCAAAGCTAACAAAGGTTTTTGGGCACTTTCACTTGATCAGAAGTTGAGTGTTTTGATTCCCAATGGAGCCCCCAAGGGGGTGGCCAGAGGTGGCCATGGCCACACCTAGAAAATTGCTGGCCCCCCAGGAAACGCCAGTGTTAATAAATATTTTTAGTGTTCACTCAAACCATAAATTGATCTTGTTTATTCATTACATTATTGTAAATCAAAATAAAATGTATACAATTAATGAGTAAAGGAATAGTCAGAATTTGAAAAAATACACGTTTCTGCTGTTCGCCATTTAAAAAAGGTTTTTCTCCATAGTTTTTTGTGAACACAGCAACAGGTTAAATAAACAAAAAAAAATTATTAAAAATACATTTTTAAAAAAATTTTGAAATAACATTTTAAATAACTGAAATGTATTTTTCTGAAGTGTTTGTAAAATTTAAGTTATATGTTTTGGATACGTACTGTTTTAATAAAAATTAATAAAGGGGCAATGCAATACATCGCCACGGGTTAAATTCTCCCTGACTTACCACAAGGACCAATTTGGTGTGCCACCCCAAAAATTTCTTTGGCCTTATCAAAATTTTCTGGAGGCACCCCTGTTGATTCCAGAGGGTCGTGTGTTGAAGTCTCCTTAGGCAGAAAACTGAACCCTGACAGTTTCTCCTGAGTGCTGTACTCATGCCATTTCACTGCTCCTTTGGGATAGGTCAGACGCATAGAAATAATTTCACCAAGCAGATTAATAAAGTATCAATTCTAATTTTTAATAAGCATTTTCAAGACTCCAGTCATTTTACAAATAACTCAGAGCCCAGCGATTCTTAGTTCTACCTGCAGATGCTTTGGTCTTTGTGAAAGATCGGGGTTTAAAGAGGTTCTGAGGACTGATATTGATTTTCTAACATCAGTGTAATCTGTGTTTTCTGTCTTCCTCTTTGTCCAGAGGCTGACAGTTTTCCTGAGCTGTCTGCAGATCTGCCCGTCCCCCAGCAGCCTCCAGCGAGCGGTCCAGCTGATCAGAACTCAAACCTTCTATTCCCCCATGGAGCAGTTGCCAACATCTGTCCTCGCTCAGCCCTCAGTCTCCACCCTCCAGGGCTGGTTAGCCAGCCTCTCAGCTCCCAAATGGTCAACCAGCAGCTCGTCATGGCTCAGTTCCTTAACCAGCAGTACGCTGTCAACCGTATGCTGGCTGGCCCGGGTCCATCCTCTTCACCACAGCAGTATCTCAACCACCCCCCTGTAGGAAGAACTCCTGCCAAGGTCTTTTCTAAACCCCCTGATACTCAAGCCCTACAGCAGCCCGCGAGCATTCCAGGGGGAGGCGCTACAACCGGGCTGCAAAATCAGACAGCAGCCGTGTCTTCAGCTGCACCAACGGACGTCCCGGGTGACATCTACCAGAATGTGAGAGAAGAGCTGAAGAGAGCGGGCATCTCCCAGGCTATCTTTGCCCGTGTGGCTTTTAACCGGACCCAGGTATAGCTAGGAGGGGTGCGCAGAATGAAAGCTAGCTTTGCTGGTGTTCTCATTGGCACGGTGTGTGCTGCAGTGTCCCCTCCCCCTGTGTAAGTGTGATAATGTATTTGTGCCAGCTCTCTGCAGCTCGAAGCCGGTGCCAGCAGTAAAGCAGCTGCTAGGCCGACTAATCACAACCCCTCAGAGAAATGCTGCCTGGCTCTCGCTCACTCGATCCCATTGTCGCGGTTTCTCACCACCTATTCTGGCAGCCTTCTTATCCTCCTAACCTTCACCTCTCGTGGTCACTCCATCTTCTTCATCCTCTGTTTGTGCCACATGCCTATGAGAGAAGTGCTGCGTTATTTGAGTCCATCATCCTATATTCACCACCACACCAACAGGAAGGATATTATTATATTATTATTTCAATAATCCCCTCTGGTTTTACCCACCCCTGAAGTCCGAAGTGCTTTGGTGCCAGCCACACACGCTGGGCATGACTCCAAAACATTATCTACAAGTGAAAGACACATTTGATGGTTCCACACAAAGACTCATTTTTCTCAGAGGCAGAATGTTGGGGGCCATCCAGCAGTGTGTTAAGGTCTGAATAGGGAGGCTTTTCCTTCATGCTGGTGTGAAATCTTCTTGGGGAAAAAAGCCCTGAGATTTGCATGAAGGGTTTGTCGGCTTCCCTGTATGAAGAAGCTCCCAGAACAAAGCAAGTTCAGTAATGAGCTCATCACTGACTACATAAACTGGCTGTGAATGGAAAAACTTTTTGAGCTCTTTCAAACTGCAGGATAAGCTGTATGTCTTAAAGTCCCATTAGTCGTCACACACTGGTGAAATTTGTTCTCCGCGTTTGACTGATGCCCTGGGGCAGTGGTGAGATACCCTGGGGCAGTGGTGAGATGCCCTGGGGCAGTGGTGAGCTGCAGACACGGCTGCACTCGGGAACTATTTAGTGGTTTGACCCCCCCATTCGAACCCTAAATGTTGAGTGTCAAGCAGTGAAGCATTGGGTCCCACTTTTAAAGTCTTTGGTATGGCCCAACTGGGGATTTGAACCCACGATCTCCCAGTCCCATGCAGGGCAGACACTCGACCACAAGGCCACTGAGCTGGTATCTTTTGAAATTGATTTTGAACCAGACGTCTCTTGTGTGTCTGAGCCTGAAAGACTAAAATGAAATGATTGGTTTCAAACTGGACTCAGCAGACAGATGTAACCTCCAGGAAGAATTAGATCAATAACGCTAATCTCTAATGAATCTATGTGCTTTATTTGGCATTACACCTGGAAATGGGATTAAAGCAGTGGTGATGTATCAAAGAGGAAGTCCAGCCAATATTGATTTTAAAACTAATGATCCAAAAATAGAAACAAAACATCAATCTGTGTGTTTATTAGGGTCTGCTGTCAGAGATCCTACGGAAGGAGGAGGATCCAAAACACGCCTCCCAGTCCCTGCTGGTCAACCTGCGAGCCATGAACAGCTTCCTTCAGCTCCCCGAGGCTGAGAGGGAGCGCATCTACCAGGAGGAGAAGGAGCGGAGCCTGACAGGATTCACCCCCGGCTGCAACAACACACCACCAAGATCCACACAGGTCAGCCAGGGCAGAGAGCTCCTAGATCAGAGGGTCAGACCGGTTTTTAAACTTTGCTCTGTGTCATGATGAAAGTTCTACAACAACACCAACCATTTATCTCCTAAGTTCAGCCTCAGATGAACAACACTTGGACCAAGTCAAAAAAAATCAGCTAAAAAGCTAAAAACACTGAATTCAGCCTACTGAACATTAGAAACAATAAACATTCACCTCCATCCAAACACATGGCCATAATCATCAGCAAGCTTGAGCATTAATATAAAAGCAGACCTACTTACAGTTCACTGGTCTAAAACATTCAAGTTTGTGCTAAACACAAGGAAAGACCTTGTTAAAGGTCAACTTTACTGAAAATAAATTTATTTTTAATGATTATTTCTGATTTTAATCGAAACAGGTGCACTAGAGCTTTTTTCCCCCTCAAGTACAACTGACAAATCATTCATTTATACTATTGACTACACATTACTTAGCAAACAGATTTAGCTCTGTAGGTTGGTCTGGCTACGCTCCATTGTAGCCTCAGCAGGCCTGCCATTGACCCAAACACTTTTGGGTCTTGCCAATCACAGCACTCTGTTTGCTGGGCGGGATTAGCCGATGATGTCAGAGCTGCGATGGAGAAAGCAACAAAGATGGCATTGGCTCAGGAAAGGCGCTCGTTTGAAATGGCTTTGATGTTAACTTTGAACAATTAATTAAATTTAACAATTTGTTAAATGACAAAAATTAGTTGAGGTTTTTCTTGGACCCCGTGACAACCCCGTTCTTCAACAGTACGGACTGTCCCGTTGACTGTTTTCCATTGCGATGGGTATATTACGCTGTTCGTTGCTCTGATTGGTCCAAGCACTGTCCAGTTTCATGCAGAGGCAGTTTGGTAGACAACCGTAGACTCCACCCCTATGAAAGGTCCATGGCCAGACTATGGCTGTGTTCGAGATGAGCTAGTTCTGTGCAGATTGGATCACCAGTGATCAGCGAGCAGTGCATGCCGGTTAAATTTGTGTCCGACTTGACGCCGACTTGCTCTGACGTCATGCATACGTAGGTAACGACAACCTCGTGAGATCAAGGCGGCCGCAGATTTTGGAGCAAGGCGCTGCAGTTGCTCTCCATCGGCTGCAAAACATAGAGGATGACGGGAAACGCCTGGCTCTCACCTGATCTAAGATCTGATTGGTTCACATTTTGATCCAAACATCTGGTGGTAGAATGAGAAACGTTAGTTGGTCACATGTATTCTGTAAGTCATGTTACGTTGATGATGACAACTCTATAGGCCATAAAGAGAAATGTGATTTCTGTTCTTTTGTCACGTTTCCTATGAGCACACTAAACCTACAGCTGATGACCTTTACTTATTATTGCAGTCATGTCTTCATATCCAATATATGATATCCACAAGCACATGAGGATGTGTTTCAGCTGCTAACAGGCACCAGAATTAAAATGGAAAATTAAACAAGTGTGAACGCTAACGCGATATCTTCAGCCATCGTCACCCGCGAGCTACACATGCAGGAAATTGTGTCCGACTTAAATGCCGGCTTTCAGCCACTCCCCCTGCTGCTTCCGTCTGCTCTCGTCTGTTTTCCGGGCGAGGCGCAGCTCAACTCGAACACGGCCTATATATTTACATGTATAGGATGGATAGCCAGGCTACATTAAAGGTACAATAACAGGGCTGCCAACACACACATTTGACCCTCTTTACACGCTCTCACGCCACACCTCCAATATCTCACACTAAACCAGCGCCTGCGCTCCCCAAACACGCATCACGCAAAGTGTGTAGGGCCAAATAAAAAATGGTTATTTTAAGTCTAGCATTAGCTACTGAACAGCATGCGCACAAACAACACACAAGTAATAATTTAACTGGCGTTGTTTCACACACAGACTCCCATCTGTATAATCCAAGCCGATGTGCTTTTTCCCGCTCTGGTTGTGAGATGGGAAGAGCGGTGAGCGCCACCTGCTGTTGATGGGACGGGCATGCCCGGTTCTCCCAGAACCGTGAGCTGCGGCTGCACGTGCCGCCAAAATGACATTCTTTATTTAGAAATGCAGCCGCGTCGCCAGTCGGCGTTGACGGAGCTTCAGTCCCGAATGTTTTTCTTTTGTT